TTTTTATTGGTACGTATAGTACATACAGTACGTAGCAGCATTTAAAAAGTCTGCCGTTCTATCATGTGATCCGAACTTGTTTCGGATTTCATTTTTATAGAACATAAATATAAAAAACATTTATGTACTGTATTAAGAAATTAAATAAGCTATCCAAATTTAAATGTTTTCGTACAGTATAATATACTGCATGTACTAAAACACTGTGGCACTGGCGCCGGCATCGGCAGAAGTTTAAGATATAATAAAAATGGCAGGCACTTGAGCACGTCCGGCACAGTACCATCACCTACTCTATATTTCTATATATTAGTGAATCTAGCGAATTTAAACTGCTAGCCATAAGTGGAGTAGCTACCCAAATTTTTATATGATGTAAGGGGTAACTACAGTGGAAGCTATCCTTTAACAATGCAGGGCACGGGTACAGGAATAGTACCGTTCCTGGCACTTGCAGAATCCTGCCTCGGCTGCTAGATTTGAATTATACAGGGTACAATTACCTTTAAATATAATCGCACATTTTTAGTGATTATGTAAACTGCGAGTAACGCGCACCTGCACGCGCGTGTTATTTCTAGATAAAGGATCAATTATCCGAGCCTGATTATTACAATCCACTGATAGATTATATGAGGTGTGCGCTATTTCAAGACGCCCATAACGTTATTGAAATTAAGTTTTGCTATTTTAAAAATCCAATTTTCGAAATATATACAGTATATATATATCCTATTTGAATTTTTATTATTCAAATTTACCATTAAACCACCGAAACAACCAAATTACTATACAATAATAATATAATAATAATAATAATAATAATAAAGAGTATCCAGACTCTTGGTCTATATACAATTGCTAGCTAGCAATGTCTATGTATTCTATATACACAATCAATGCGAAGAAAGAAACTAATCTAGTGAGTGAGTGAAATGAATGTGAGAACTAACATGAACCGTAAAATTGTTATACAACTATTTACAATGCTATTTTACCAAGTGCCACTTATTACTTATATACAACTATCACATTAAGCAATAGAAAAACCTACTACATAATTTAAGAAAAATAATATAAATCAACCTTCACCATCCTTATTTTTTTTTGCCTCAAACGACTCTGTAAGTATCCGATTATCATCGATCATTTCTTCTAAAGTATTAAACTCGCACTCTAAATCATTAAGCCTATCAATCATGTCTTTCTTCCATGAATCAATATATAGGAACTTTTTATTAACATTATCGATCTCATAACTCATCTTATGTGGTCGCTTTAATCGCCTTGTGCTTTTAGCTCTTGCTAAAGATTGTGTTTTTACAATTTCAATTGCACTTTTTAAACTTCCTTCGGTAATTTCTTCGGTGAGTTTCTTTTGTTTTAAAACTTTAAGTATTTCAAAATCTCTTATTATTCTACGTTGGGACGCTTGTTCAATATCTGATGCAAGTGTTGCAAAAGTTACTACTTTTTTTCCGGATTTCTGTGAGTCGTTAATATTCACAGGGATAGTAGAATAATCATTACTAATCCAACAACTCTCACCATTAGAATAAGAGTCTTTTGATCCTTTATTAATCATATTAAGGATAAATTCGACATCATTCTCTAATTCTATCTGTTTTTCGAGTTTAGTCGCAAGACGAACATCTTGATCATATCTATCTTGTTCAACGGTTTCGAAGGCAGCGTTTAAGAATAATGATGATGGAGACTCTACGTTCATTAAATCATCATTATCACAGGTAACTAAACATGAAAAAAATAAAAATTAACGAAAAATATTTAAATATTTTAACCATTTTAAAATTACACAAGTACTAACCATCATCGATTTGAATTGATCTAATTTTATTAAGAGTAATAGAAATTCTATTTTGTACATTGTTGATAACATTTTTAACTTCACACCTCCTCGAGGTATTTTGAGAAGTTACCTTTTTGCGTCTGATGGTGCTCGTGACTCTCTCCCGACGGATCGGAGAAAATCCACCATATTTTGCATTTTTGGACACCACATGCGAATTTTTAGAATTAATCGAGTTTTTAGAGTTATTCGAATTGATCGAATTTTTCGAATCTTCAGAATCCGTATCACATTCAGATATATGTTTTTGCATAAAAATCCACACGGAAACAAACGCTATTAAGGTCATTCCACCAATATATGCTATAGGACTATAACGTAAAATTCAACATATCTTAATGATAAAGAAATAAAGAAATTTTTCAAAGAAGAATTTTAAAAGAAATAATTACCGATACTTCTGCATACTAATGTATGCAGAAGAAGAAATCCAATTACTATTTAAAGAAGAGGTTGTTCCGCAACGAGAGTTCTTATGCAAATATCTAACCATCAATTGGAAAAAATCATATAATTTAACTCGAACTATTTTTAGGGTCATCTTAACCTCTCGATAGGGGCTATAAAGAAGGATGATTTTATATGCTACACCTTCTTTTGTTTTTCCATCGGTAGATAAGGAGAGATTGAGCGAGAACAAATCATTCATTTGAAAAGCCGGACTATTTATAATTAATTTGTAGGAGTTAATTATTATTTATGCAGTCATTAATGATTTTCATGCTGAAAAACTCGCGTACCAGTCAGCTGATCTTTGTACCAGGTCTCTGGAGCTGGCGCAGAACTGGGGCTTTTAAGAGTTGAGAGTCAAACCACCAAGCAAGCAAACGAGTGATGTAAAAATTGAGGTGGATATTCTCAAGTCTTTATTTTTATTTATAAAAAACGAAATTAAGCATCGGAGAAAAAAAAAGAGAGTAACTGACGTATATAAGAAAATATATATATATGTACGAAATAACGTATGCCACCGTATCACCAAAATTAAATTCACCCGCAGGTTGATGCAAAGTTGATATATAAAAAAGGTGTAGACAAATTTTTTCGTTAGAGGAAGGCATGCAGTCTTTCACCAATAATTTTTGATTAATTTATATACAGTACGCAGAATGATGAAAACATAAATAAGAATACAAGGAGAAAAGAAATACGAGATATTTCAGAAAAAATGTTCAGATTAAACCTTTTTATTTATTCAACCTATTACAATTGTTTGAATCGAACTATTGTCACATGAAGATCTATGTGTAACGATGAAAAAAAAATAAACAGGATTCTCGATGAACACCGACAAAGAGGTTGTCGATTTTTTTTTTTTTTTTTTTTTTGGCGTAAAGATTCTTAAAAATTGAATTTGATTTTCCTTACAATAATGAACATTTTTAGTAACTTTGTGAAGTATGCACCGTCCTCTAGTTTTACGATTAAGTCGTACAGCTTTATGTTCCGTGTTTGCATTATCAAATATATACGTCGTACTGTACGTATTAAAATTCGATCAACGCGGCCATTATTACATATTTTGGCGTTTGAATACGCACTTTTGTGTAAGGAATGATTTGTTATGTGACCATCGTAGGATAACAATTATTCCTTATTATTCTTCCAAACAACGTCATCCAAAGTTGATGGGAGATCAATTTGCCTTAAAAGTCTACCATTTTTTAGCATGCATTGTTTGAACGCATATAGATATACATCTAATCTTATACCGTAAATGATCTGGGCTTCAAATGCTTTTTTGGAGTTCTTTTTCCGGTACTAACATTTATCAAATTAAAGGTCCTTGTTTTTCTTCATAAGGTTGCTATCTGTTATACAGATGCGGCAATGAATTACCCGCGTTATTAATCAATGGCTTACTGTGTACCACTCAGAACAATAGGCTTTATTTTTTTTGGAATAATTGTTAAACTCACATGATTATGTATATCTTTCGAATGTCATATGCCACGCAAAACATTACTAAACTCAAATTTTTATTTATAGAAGTATTTTCTGATTTTTATTTCCCTCGCGGATCGCGATTACCACATCGCTGGTATTACATACGAGCGTACTGTACGTACGTATGTACTTTCGTACACACGTATACAGTTCTATTGGTTCTATCGCTATTAGATAACCATTGTGATCATGCGGGGTGTTGTATCGCGTCTATTCTAAATTGTAAGCTTCATTTTTTTTCAAACAAATAGTTTAATGTCGATCTAACTTTTTTTAGAAACAAAGTTTTTTGAATAAAGAAATTATTAAAAACTTTAACCTATAATTTCGGATCTTTTTCTCAATTTAGAAATATTATACATCCTAATGAGGTGTTATTAACAGTCTCCTTCATTTTACTTCTTTAACTTCTTTGAGACTTTACGTAAGTCACACGAATAGATCATGCGTATAATGGAATAATGGAGTCGTTGGATCATTAACATAAAAATCTTTAATTCTGGTCTAGCATTATTAAAGTTATGTGAATTGACAAATTGGAATATTACAGTTCTGATTAGCAGTAAAATACCCCTACGGGATGGGATTATGTAAATTACTGATTTTTCTAATAGTCAAGAGATCCCTTAACCTTGTTTTTCTTTTTTTTTTTTTTTTTTTTTAGATTTTCAGCTGATATATTAAATAACGCCCCAGGGCGTTATTTTAGAATTAATTTTTATTTATAATCTTAAACTTGCAATTTTAAACTAGTGCCTCATGCGATAAAGGTTTTGCCAATTTATAATTCATGATTGGCTATAATATTTATAGAATACCCTTTATTTATTAGCGTTAGTATATTTATATCGATATCGATAAGCTGATATACTTTGGAATCAATTTTTTTTTACAACTATTAGAACATTGATTGGCTGGAAAAGTTGATTATCAAAAATTAGCCATAACTGATAAACGTGACGATTTTTTTTAATTTTTCCTAACACTAAGCCTTTTAAATCTCTAACGTCTTACTCTGAAAGAGGAATTGCTATTCCTTCCCGTGAGTAATAAAAAAAAAATTGTAAGTTAAATTAAAGATTTTATGATACGATGAAATACATCTATATTTTGGTGATTGGAACAAGAGAGATAATCTCCGAAGCAAATTATTATATATATACCGTATTTTCGCTCATGAGCGTTATTTAGAATAATGGCCAAAATTTGAAATTATACCTCTGCCGTTATTTCGCGAAAATACGGTATGTATGTCGTACCCAGATTGGAATTGTCCCGATTCAGAATCGGGCTGCCCCAGATGAGAAATTTGTAAATTATTTTTGCAGATTTAGGATTTTAAGGTTGGTGTTAGGGTTAGGTTTACTTTAGGTGGTATAATTTGAATAAAAAGTACAATATACTCTTCCGGGACTGTTCTGGTTCTGAATCGGGAAACCCCGGGGTACAACATATATATATTTTTTTAAAAACAATGAAGGCTAAAGTCAGAAATCTTGGTTAATTTGTTGCATATTTACAGCCTTTGTGAAATAAGTAATAGGCGTACTCACAAGAACAATAGGCTCACTATAAAAGTTCTAATCTAATCTTTACATCACAAAAATATTGTTAGACAGGTAAGTGCTGTGTACCTACCGTACACTATTTCGCGCATGACTTTGGTTGTGTTGTCGATAATTGATATTTTCCTTTTTGTTGCTTGATTCAATATAGCTTGAACTAATGATCTAGTCTCTTATAATGGAGAGAGGATTCGAGTAGATATAGAATACCCAAAGATTCAGATCGAGAGTTGAAACTAAGAAGGTCGCACGTGATTCGCGTCGGAGCGATGACAATATTGTTATTGTAAAAAGGGACCAATCACTGTTGCAGATGCAAAGAGCAGCTCACCCAAGAACAAGACTCCAAAGACACCTCTAGAAGAAATGTCAGAAAAAGTCTTGGTGATGCCCGTTGACCCCGGAAGGGAAAGAAAAGGCTCACGGGAAATTATTTGCCGAGAAAGATATTTCAAATATTTTACCTGATTCAGTATATAATTTTGATTTTGATATTTCTAAAACAAAATTACATGCTGAATATTTTAGATTATTTGATGAAGTTTGTGATGAATATAAAGATAAATTTCGAAACATAATAAATGACCTCGGACAAATCGATGTGATAACCTACGAGATCGATACCCTATCAAACAAACACCATACCTTCCGAGGTATCGAAGGCCTCCTTGGACTATACAAGTCATACATTATATATTCCAATATTATTTATAATTTTGTAATTGTAATTAATGTACCTGCAACCATTGCAATAGATTTTTTTTTGAGTATGAAGTTGAGAACAATCAAAACATTATTATTAAGGGGAAATTTCCTAAAATCGCAGGCGATTATGAAAAAGTAATTTTGTCATCTTGGCCTTCCAAATTCGAGGTGCATCGCGGACGAAGGTATCGATAATTGATGGACGGAAACATAGAGCTATTTGAATGGATGATATTCTTGATTACGATATATTAGCAACTCAGGCTGAACAAGATATTCTAGAAATATATCGTTCAAACTTTAGTAATTATCCTGCCATGGACCTCCGGCTACATTCAGAACTATCCCTTTCCTTAGATCAAGAATTGCAAGATAAAACCGTCTTATTCACCAAATCGAAAATTTTTGGTGAATTAGTTTCTAAATCACTTTTAATTTCCTAAATGGAATAAAGAAAAAAAAAATTATTATTTATTTTATTTTATTTTATTTTTTATATGTTTTTGCTTAATTAAATAAACGAATGTAGTCGTGTGTTAACCCAGATTTTTTAGTCGAATAAATTAAATGTCGCGGATGATACTGAACTGAGAGCCTTAATTTAGAAATATAAACTCCACCTATACTCTTTTACTATAACCCTAATCCTAAATCCTAAAAAAATGTACCTCTAAAAAATTTTAAAAATCGTAGCGGTAGGTTTCAGCATCATCCGTGACAGTAAATATATACAGTATACAGTATGTATATATATATAAAGCTTTTTATGTATTATAGTAATCAATTCGGTCGAATAATTATATATGCCTTTATATGGTTTTTAAACTTTATTAAATTAATGAAAGTGTAGAATTTTTTGGACTTGGTACAGTACAACATTACTTGCTATATTGGTTATAGAAGATTTTTGCACTCTACATATGCGGTCACGTGGTAGATCACCATATAATGCAGTAATAATAAATGTTCAACAATTTAAAAATTTTTATTTTATACTCAGTACTCAATATAATAATGAATAGTAATAACGGAGGGCTTTACAAAAGATCGTTTAATAAAAACAAGATCCGAAAGAGAGAAAGAGACAGCGATGTGAAAGAAGAAATACGTGATAGAGAAAAAAGCACTGATTACGGCCGTAGTCGTTCTGTACCAGTCAGTTCGTGGAGAGATTCTGATCGGAATTCACCACGAATAAGTAGAAGCGATTGGGATTCCACGCCAACAAGATCGAGCACACCACGATTCTCTGGCGGTGGTCTGACTCCTCGAAAAGGTAAAAGTGTTAAGATCATCTAAAAATTACTCCTGCACCTGTCGATTTACATTTTTAAATATAAAATTATTAGAATATCAACCCATGAGGGATTTTCCAACTCCTCGACTTGCAACGTTTGATTATGATGAGTTGGATTTTGCATTTAAACAAGACGGTGAAGAAATAAATGAAGATAATGAAAGACATCATTGGGAAGAAGAACAACGGCAGCTGGATCGTGACTGGTACAGCATGGAAGAGTCTGGAGTAAGTGATAGTTTCTTACAAATTCATATATGAAGAGTGTATAAATATTCAAATCTTTAATTTATAATCTAGGCAATGGACGATACGCACAATCCTTTTGCTGATTATTCGGATTTTGTTGAGAAAAAAGAGAATGAGCTTGCCCAGAAACAGCTTGTGTGTGTGATTTCTAATTCAATTATTATAATTGTTACAGTCAAATTTTCCTAAATGTGCTTCTTAAATGCAATACTTCTTGAAATACCGACTCTAAATCTAGTCATATTTAGGGTGATTTGACTGTACTTAAAGAGTTTTCTGGATCTTTCTTTACTAACTGCTTGATTTATTCAAATTAGAAAAAACTTACCGCAAGGCAAGAACAATATAACAAAGATAATGAACTCTGGGAAACAAACCGTATGCTTACTTCCGGTATCGTGCAGAGGAAAGAAATTGATTTGGATTTCGATGGTGATTCGGAAGTAAGAATGAAAATTCAAACATTTATTAATTTTAAATTAAAAAATAATATTGATTGATTCAAAACTTGACATTTATTTATATAGGCACGTGTACATTTATTAGTACATGATATTAGACCACCATTTCTTGATGGCCGTACAGTTTTCACAAAACAATTGGGAACTGTACAATCTGTCAAGGACCCTACTTCCGATTTAGCTGTCTTCTCTAGGAAAGGGAGTCAATTGGTAAAAGAAAAGAGAGAACAAATAGAGCGTCAAAAGGTTGTTCTAATAAAGTTTATATAATATTCATTCTTATTTACGCTGGATATTAAGTTTTTTTTTTTTTGATTATGCTATTAACAGGCTGCTAAGAGTGTTGTAGATGTTGCAGGCACTGCCTTAGGTAACATTATGGGTGTCAAAGCTCCCGATGAAGATTCTGCAAGTATGCATTGTGTAATCTGAAAGTTTTTTAACACATGTCAAAAAACCAAATTGCTTGCTAATTAATTTATTTTTAAAAAAATATGTATATAGCACCGCCTCAGAATTCAGACGGCGAATTGGAAATTCCTAAAGGTGATTCACAATTTGCATCTCATTTGAAAGCATCTGAGGCTGTCAGTTCTTTTGCTAGATCAAAAACTCTTCGCGAGCAACGAGAGTTTTTGCCAGCTTTTGCAGTCCGCGAAGAATTGTTAAGAATAATTAGAGATAACCAAGGTACCCTTTAGTTTTTACTCCGTTAATAAGTTTTATTTCCATTGAATTCCTTAAGTGACTTGTGTGGTATTTTGCTGGTTATAGTTGTCGTTGTGGTTGGAGAAACTGGTTCTGGTAAAACGACACAATTGACACAGTACCTTTACGAAGATGGATATAACAATTATGGCACTATAGGTTGTACGCAACCTCGTCGTGTTGCTGCCATGTCTGTTGCGAAACGTGTTAGTGAAGAAATGGAGGTGAGTTTTAATATAAAGAAGGTTTTTCCTTTTTCTTTTTAATAACATCAAATGACATTTACATTTAGTGTAAACTGGGAACGACTGTGGGATATGCTATTCGTTTTGAAGATTGTACTTCTGAAAGTACAGTAATAAAGTGTGAGTGATTTATGCTTTACGATTATATTTTAATATTTATCTGTGATTTTGTTAATTTCCTTGTATTTTATATTTAGACATGACAGATGGTGTGCTACTTCGGGAGTCACTTAAAGAACCTGATCTTGATCATTATAGTTCTATTATAATGGATGAAGCTCATGAACGATCATTGCAAACGGATGTTATAATGGGATTATTAAAACAGGGTATGTCCTTTTAGAAGTTCGATCAACTTCACATATAAGATATTTGCAATTTATAATTATCTATAATAATCTTTCTATTTAGTACTTGCTCGTCGACGAGACTTAAAGTTAATTGTTACATCCGCAACTATGAATGCTGAAAAGGTACTTTATAATATAATTATTAATTATGAATTTATTGCCAATATAACTAATAATGCAAACCGTTTCATATAGTTTTCATCATTTTTTGGAAATTGTCCTACTTTCAAAATTCCTGGTCGTACTTTTCCCGTAGAAATAATGTTCAGCAAAACACCATGTGAAGATTATGTAGACAGTGCCGTAAAACAAGTACTTGCAATTCATCTCGGTCACCCGTCAGGTGATATATTAGTGTTCATGACTGGACAAGAAGATATAGAAATTACTTGTAAAGTAATTACAGGTGCGCACAGATATATTTTTTACTTCATCTGGACTATTAGTTGCAAAAACGTTTTATATATAATATCGTTTTATATAATAGAACGTCTACAACAACTGGACAATCCGCCAGAGTTGGCAGTTCTCCCTATCTATTCTCAACTACCTGCCGATCTGCAAGCTAAAATATTTGAGAAAGCACCTGATAACGCAAGAAAAGTTATCGTTGCAACAAATATCGCAGAGACTTCACTAACTGGTAAAGATTAGATTTTATATATTATAAACATAATACAATAATCATATTCTTACTGATATCTTTCTATTTAGTTGACGGTATTATGTATGTCGTCGACACAGGATTTAACAAACTTAAAGTATTCAATCCAAAAATTGGTATGGATTCTTTACAAATCACACCAATAAGTCAAGCAAACGCAAACCAGAGATCAGGTCGTGCTGGAAGAACTGGAGCTGGAACATGCTATCGTCTATATACCGAACATGCCTATCAGCATGAAATGTTTATGAATACTATACCTGAGATTCAAAGGACAAATCTGGCCAATGTCGTACTTTTACTTAAGTCATTGGGTGTTAAAAATTTATTAGATTTTGACTTTATGGATCCACCACCTCAGGTACATTCCTATTTTCAATAATTTGTTAATTAATATGCATGAGATTAATTTTGAAATCGGATATTTTCAGGATAACATATTAAATTCAATGTATCAATTATGGATACTTGGAGCATTGGATAACACTGGAGAATTGACACCGCTTGGCCGTAGAATGGTTGAATTTCCACTGGATCCTTCATTATCAAAGATGCTTATTGTATCTGAAGAACTAGGATGTACCGCTGAAATTTTGGTATATTTTTAATACGATTTGTAATTTTTTTTATATATTATCAATATTATTGAATAATTTAATTTACTTCATTTTCGATTTCAGACAATCGTATCTATGCTTTCCGTACCTTCAGTATTTTATCGACCAAAAGAGCGGATGGAAGAAAGTGATGCAGCAAGAGAAAAATTCTTCGTACCAGAAAGTGATCATTTGACACTCTTACACGTCTACACTCAATGGAAGTCACATGGGTAAGTTCTATTGTCCTAACACGAATTTAAAGGTTTATATATGTATATTCGTAATAACTTAATTTTCATTTTAGTTTTCGTGACGATTGGTGTATAAAACATTATATTCATTCAAAGGCAATGAGAAAAGCTCAGGAAGTTCGGTTGCAATTGCTGGATATTATGAAGGCTGAAAAGATGGAAATTGTGTCTTGTGGGACAGATTGGGACGTAGTACGAAAATGTATTTGTTCTGCATATTTTCACCAAGCTGCAAGAGTTAAAGGAATTGGTGAATATGTAAATTGTCGTACTGGCATGCCTTGTCATCTTCATCCTACGAGCGCACTATATGGACTTGGTTATACACCTGACTATATTGTTTATCATGAATTGGTGATGACATCAAAGGAATACATGCAGTGTGTAACAGCAGTGGATCCATATTGGCTTGCTGAAATGGGGTGCGTTTACTAGAAATTTTCTATTATCTTCACTCTAGCTCAACATGTTTGTTAATTTTTTGTTTTTTTTTTTTACTTTCTTTATCATAGTCCCATGTTCTATTCGGTCAAAGAAAAGAATTTCACACAAAAGGTATGCCCAATTCATATTTATATTGATCCTTTAAAATTAGCCAATGTATTAATAAGGCTTTTCA